ACCCATCGCCAACTCTTGGGCTACTCTTTTACCAACGAATAGTGGGATTGACCGAACATTATAACGCCCCCACGGCTGAAAGGGCGAGCATGTTTGGTGTGATGGGGATTCGAACCCGCGACCCTCAGATTTCGAGTCGAGCTCCCTAACCACCTGGCTATGCCGGGCCAGGTTAATTTAGCTACAACTTTTTTTTTTTTTTGCACTGGATGTTGAAAGTAAAGGGTTAAGGATTTCAAATATGCAAGAAAATAAAGTGTGATATTTTTCGACATTTAAAGTTTTTAGAAGTTGTTACTCAGGAACATAAGTTTCTATTAATCGATTTAACATTTCTTTTACTTTGCTAATCAAAAACAATATGGTAGTAATAACAATCCTATAATTAATAAAAACTAACACAAAGAACAGCTAATAATTTTTCAGGTTTATAATGTGGGATAAAGTTATTGACCCTAAAATTTTGAGTCGAACGTACAGAAACTGCTATGTTTTAGAGGCAACTTTCAACAAGAGCAAAGCCGTTAAACCAGTTTCTCATGTAAAATTTTGCATAAATTCAAGAGGCGAGTCTTCAGGTGATTCAAGGGAAGTTTACGGACTTGCAAAGCGGTGAGAATAGCACAGATAGAACATTGGAACTCTCTCTCACACTTTTTTTTTTTTGTCTTAACAACGAAACAAGCAAACCAGGCTCGATCTCTTACTTCGAAAGACGCAATGAAACTCCCAAGGTGTTGTTTTGGTATTAGTGCAAAGTCTTCATAAAGCAAGACTTATTTTGTTCACTGCTATTCCAATTTTACTTTAATTTGCACCTAAAGAATGGTTTTCAACATATTCAAACATCTAATTAAGACACTCTGTGCACTTAGTAGAAACAACCATAAATGTTCTTCAACTATTTCTCATAACTTTCGTTGGTTGATGTTTGACCAGTTATATCTAAATCTGTCAATCACTGAACAACCTAACACCATTTCTCCTCTCTCGCAGTTTTCCTGTCTTCTTTTGATTAGATTCTAATGTTTTTGGACGAACTATCTTTTGATTGCTTGAATTTCAACAGGAACCCCATCATAACTGGATCGACAACGCTTGCATTTCATGCTAATATCACAACTTATTCTTGCAACTGAGAATAGGATAAAAACCTGACTTTTGGACATTATTCTAGTGTATACTAAGAAGTTTAGTTCTGAAAACAGGTCTTCTATACGTAAATTACTTTGCAAACGACAATGAAATTTCACTTAAATAATATATATGAGGTACAAAATTCCATAGAGTTTCCGTAAGTAACTTTATTTGTGAATCGCATTGCGTTTGCCCTTGATTACAACTGTACTACATTATTTTTTTATTTACTACTTGTTTGCATGACAAGTTTACTGATTACTTTCGTCAATTTTAGAAGTTAAATGTTACGTATAACATAATCGTGTAGTGCTGTTATTTTTGACCTAGTGATGCACTGTAATAACACTAAATGGATAAACATGGAAAAGCTAAAATACCAAAAGGACTTAATTAAGTGGAGTTGAAATGAATACGAGTGGAATTTAAAACAAAAGACAGGAACAAAACCGAAAATATTCCCAAATGACTAGTACAGAAAGGAATATCACTGAAAGCAATGACAGAGATAGTAATAGTCTCGAAGGTTTTTACCTTGAAAGAAAGAGAAAAAAACATTGAAAAAACAGGATTAACGCCGAACGATCTCCAAAAGGAATAGCGCCAAACATTTAAACCATGAAGTAGTATCGAGAATAAAGTGAAAGCATAATAAGCTCAAAAGTAATATCACTGGAAAAGAGTAAACCGAAAGATAAAGTATTAAAAAATAATAGTCCCGAAACAAATGTAGAATTAAAGGACTACCGATTAATAAATAGTTTTAATTCGCTATTTACTGAAATGATGTATTTTTATGAAGCCAACTATATCGCAAATTCCTTTCAAGCACTTTATCTGTTTAAACGTTTAATTTAATAATATTCTGTGTGCTTTTTGATTCATACCGATGTTTAAATTGTCTATGATATTAGGATAATAAATGCAATCACACCACCGTTTAAGCTTTCAGTCCCTACCAGTTTTGAAAACATTTTTCACCTCAGTTCTTTATATGACATCAATAAATTATATCTTCGCAAGTTTATTCATTTATAAAATTTTGCGCTTAGTGATATGTGTCTCATTTTAATTAATCCAATTATTTTTGGAAAACGAAAAGGTTTTCATTATACAGTTATAAAATTATCGGCTGATATGAAACTTGTCTCATTTAAACTTCATCCAATTTTATATAAAGGGTTTTCACTGTACAAGTTTATCCAATTACATAATTATCAAATTATATGGGTCTTATCTGAATTACTCTCAATTTATTAGGCACCAATATTGAGTTTAATTACTTTCGAGTACGTTGGTAGGCGTACATGCTTACATTATGAGTTTAATGTTAGGAATGAAGTTTGTGTTTTATTTTCCGTACAAAAAAAAACGAGTGATGCTTTATCCGAAATATCAAAACGTGTTCTCTAGACTAGAGCACCTCATAACTGACGGCATGGTCGAAAGATACAACCGCACACTGTAGTATCAAATAGTTATGTATGTGGATGAACATCGGAAACATGAGATTAGTACCTTTCAGTGTTACTGTTTACCTATCGATCAGTAATACATGAAACTATCGGCAACACACCATCATCAGTGATGTTCGGGAGAAAGTGCCATTGAACTTTCTGTAGTCCTGTTTGGAGAGCAGTCACTAAAAAGAGTCTTTACACAGGATATGAAGAGAGATTAAGGAACACCATTGATGACATACATAAATTTACCCGTGAAAGACTTAAATCAGCTAGTGATAAAGTGAAAAAATCACTATGATGTTAATACTAAATTCCACTGAGGTGATACGGCATGGTTGTACAATCCCCGCCACAAGAAAAGACGAATCTCATTGTCAAGCAGGGAGCCATATGCTTTACTAAAAATAATTTATAATATCGTTTACAGAATCCAAAAGGACCTTTTGGAAAGACATTGGTGAGAGAATGGCCAAGTGGGTAACTCCAGAGAAGAACTTGCCGGTGGCAACTCAATCTGCTAAGGAGCACGGAATTCCTGTCAAATCTACTTCTGGAGGATAATCAAAGTTGGAGTCGCCAGTGGATTCACCCTACCATCAACCCAGAAAGAACTTTACCCAGTAACAGAACAGCCAGTGAAAACAATGGACAAGATGATATCCAATCTGTATACCATGGGCCTCAGAAGAAAAATCCATCCAAAAATACTCAGCAAATGGACAATTTACACTGAGTGGTCACAAGTAAATACACCTAATTTTTCGTCATTTAACTGATTTATTCCAACTAATTTGTGTTCACAGAGCACTATATAAATGAAAATGGTCCGCACACTAATTATCTTGTGCTACAACATGCCTAGAATTTAAGGTTCTCTCGAATTGTCAGATTT